AGATAGATATGCATATTACCACGTAACAGCTTTACCGGTGGATGATCAGCAATACTCAAGGTCAGGAAACTAAGACATATATCATGGCCGAACGAGACAGAGAGGGTGTGTTCCGCCGAAGCTGAACGACCATCACAGCAGTTACAAAATTGTGAGGATAAGACAAAACTATTTCTTCCAACGGAGGAACTACTGGACATCACACTTCAATCTAAAGGCTCACTAATCTGAAGAAATATGGTCGGCCATTTGTTTCAAAATTATGACACGATATACGTGCTTTTTTTTCCCACGTATACTTGCAATCATTCCTGCTACACGATATACGTGCGTTTTTTTGTCACGTATACTTGCGTTTTATTCCCAAGTATATGACCATTTTCTTACAAACGCGCATATATATGCGCACAAAAAAGTCCATATATATGCGTTACAAACAAGCATGTGGTATATGGGGTAACAGAAAGTGGTCGTATAAGACGCACCGAATTATACCGTCAGCAAAAAACCCCTTCATGTACGATGGAGCTGAAAAGTAACTTCAGTTTGAATCAAGCATGGCCGCAATGGCCGCGTTAGTTTCGAGCAAGATTTGGTTCTTATTCATTGCCCTCACAGTACTGCTGGTTGTTGGCTCCCCGACAACGGATTTGTTCAGAATCCGTGGATTGTCTCTTGAGAGACTGTGTACGCTGTTTCACAAATGCTGAACGAAACAACGATCGATTCAGTTAGAAATTAGCGTCCGACAGGCAAATCACGACTCATAAGCTCTTGATAATGTGAAAGATGACCTTGAGAGTCTGCTTGAACAGACTGGTTTTTCTTCTTTTCTCTCTCTCGCGTGAATTATCACCTTTTCGCCTCCACGAACACGTTCTAAGCCTCCTAGTCTCGAAGCTTGTTATCATTTCCCTGGTAGTCTCACACTTTAATAGCCTTCCACCTGCCTCTCTTTCCTTAGAGCGCCTCCACTTTAATTGTGATTTTAAAGACAACTTTATTGGAATAAGCGGCATGAGGTAAAAGTCGTGTAGGCCTACCACCCCTTTTTATTGCTATGATTTGTTTACGGGTAGGCCCCGTTTTACCTTATGAAAATCAACACTGGCACTAATAAGAACCAAGCACAGAGTAGAAAGTTCAACATTGCACAACTAACAAGGAACGTATCCACTCCAGTTTTTAGAGGGAGTGTACGGAAACTCTGTGCGCATTTATTTACAAGAGTCTTCGAACTCCTCCATGAAAGAAAGTGCCTAAATTTTCACGAAATGCTTTCCAAAAAAACACACCTCTAGCTTGAAGCAGAAGAGGATCGGAATACACAGTCCGCAATTGGTTAACGTTACGTTCAGAAGCCAATAAGAAAACAAGGATTTCGATCCGCCACGTGGGTATTTATGTTCAGTTCAAAGCTCAACAGACAGAACGGCTGTACCGTTCTCGCCACGACAAAGTACAACTAAAGTTGCTCTTGTAAAAGCAACTAAGCACAAAGCCAACCCGGCAATTGATGAGGTTCGTGAGGAGAACCGAAACCATGGTCTTGCCTGATCACAAACTGTGGCAACAACAAAACAGTTTAAAGACTGTTAAGCATATTCAAAGCTATTACCAAGGGAGGAACTACGCGCTCCAGTCAAAAGACTCACACTATCTTTAGAAAAACACTAAGCTGGAGTTTACTGAGTCACAATTCAATTCTCCATAGTAAGTTTATGTAGCTTCAGTTTAAGCTGCAGTTCACTCTTATAATTTTGGATCTGTAAGTGACTATCCGTGATAATTTAACATTCTGCAAAGAAAACTGACGAGCTGGGCCCAGCGTGATACAGCATTGCAGAAAAACATTACACTCACGGACTAAAGAAAATTGCTTGGATCAGATCCAGAAGACACTTTGGAGAAAATTGGAACCCTTATTCAGCCGTAATAAAAAAGCTTTACGCTTCAAAAGAGGTCAGAGAAAATGCGCTTGCATCAGAGGGCAAATCCTGCCGACCAGAAAACAATAACTACAGTCAATCGATATATATGTTATGACCTCTCAGTGTGAAACATGCGGCTAAAACCACATTTGCTCAGTAAAATGCAGAACCTTTCCAGAGCATAATCTACCCAGCAGATAAAGACAACTTTATTGGAATAAGCGGCATTTTGGCATGAGGTAAAAGTCGTGTAGGCCTACCACCCCTTTTTATTGCGAGGATGATCTGCTGCTCGGCAAGTCCGATGACGAAGAACAAATCCCTCCGTATCAAGTGCCTAGAAAACCTAAACAGCCTAAACAGCAACGCCAAAGCCGCGACAGGCGCCCTCAAAGGAGTACCAGCGAACCAAGGACAGAGCAGTACCGAAAACGTCGCCGCCAGTACAGCCCATCCACAGAGAACCGAAAACGGAGCCGTAGCCTATCCGCGGAGGACAAGATTAGCCAAGCTGAAGGTGCGATAAAAGCTTTAAAAAGGCACACGGACAAGGGAACCTGCCCAGAAACCCTACAATATAGGGCGAGGGCTAAAATAACAGCGGACGAGGACTTCAAGAGAGAGATAAGACAAATCCGCAAGAACGCGGAGTAAGAAACACTCAATGCGATTATACGATTCCATCAACGAGAAATCGGCCGTTTTAAGGCCGAAGCCAAGAAAGGAAAGCGAGCCACACCGGCTACAGCACTGAACACTAAGAACTGTAGTACGATCGAACCAGCGCGCGCAGCGCAAGCTGAAAACAATGTAACGATCGAATCAGTAAAGCAAATTGCTGTTAACCTCCAGGCACAAATCGCCCAGTTCGGCAATATGATGCAACAACTAGGAGCCATTGAAAATAAAGAAGTTCAAAAGTACACATGTGTATTCTCTGACTCCCACCACAAACATGGGGCCAAAAAACCGCCAAATTTTAAAAGCCAAACGGCTAGCAACCAATAAGCGCAAAGAGCGCAAAAAGGTCAGACGCCAGAAACATTCAACTATCACTATAGAGGCGAACAAAAAACACATAAAAAACCTCTCAAACAAAGAACTTACAAATGACCAGATTAATTTACTGGCAAAAGGGCTAAAATTCATTCCAACAGCCGTTACAAAACAAACACAAATCAGGCAACAACTCTTGCGTGACTTTGATCAGTTTGCAAGAAGAATGCGTCTTATGTACATATTTCGAGGGGAAAACAACGAACCCCATCCTTACCATGTCAAATCTGCATGGGAACCACCAATACAACGATCAGTAGCCCTTGAAAGTTACCTAGAAGAGGTTAAGAGCGACCTTGCAGAAATAGAAATAACAAAGCCAAAAAATAATCTGCCTCCGGCCGAACGTGAGGCTCTGAGAGCCCTAAAACGTGACACTGAAATAAACCTTAAAAAGGCCGATAAAGGAACGACAACCGTAGTCATGAACACACAAGACAAAATTAAAGAAGGCCAAATTCTACTAGACAACAAAGACAACTACAGGCCTCTTGCATCACCCATGGTCACTGAGACAAACCATAAAGTTAAACAACTTATTACAGACCTCCACAACGGGGATCACATAGACGACATGACTAAAAAATGGCTTTGTCAAACACCAAATCCGCCTCGAATTCCAGAATTTTACACCCTCACTAAGATACACAAGCCGTCCCCGGTCGGCAGACCGATAGTATCAGGGTGTGATGGCCCAACAGAGAAATTATCATCATTTGTCGACAAACTCCTTCAGCCGATAGCACAACAACAAAAGTCTTATCTTAAAGATACTACCGACTTCGTCAATTTCATAGAAAATACGAAAGTCCCAGTGGACGTCATACTTGTTTCAATGGACGTTACGAGCCTGTATACAAATATACCGCAAGAGGAGGGAATAGACACGGTATGCAGAGCATACGAAATATTCTATAGAAACGAACCTCCTATCCCTACACAACTACTAAAACGAGCGCTCAGGCTAATTCTCCAAGAAAATTCTTTCCAGTTTAATGGAAAAAACTACCTTCAAACACATGGTACTGCCATGGGCACGAAAATGGCAGTCGCCTTTTCTAATATATTCATGAACAAGGTAGAGACGGAAATCCTTAGCCGAAGCCTTTTCAAACCGCTCGTTTGGAAACGTTACATAGACGACATCTTCTCGCTCTGGACTACAAACAGAGACAGAATAGAACATTTCATTGAACAAGCAAACAATCATCACCCTACGATCAAATTTACGGCTGAAATTTCCGATAAGGAAACAACATTCCTGGACACCTACATCTACAAAGGGGAAAGATTCGAAAGAGACGCAATCCTTCATGTGCGTACTCACTTCAAACCAACTGAGACATTTCAGTATACCCATTTTGCTTCCTGTCACCCGCAAGGAGTTAAAAAAGGCTTCATTAAAGGGGAAGCCCTCCGACTCCTCAGAACAAACTCTTCCGAACTAATATTCGAAGAGAAAATTACAAATTTCAAAGCGCATCTGCTACAGAGGGGTTACCCAGAGGATCTTATTAACACAACCCTCTCAGAGGTGAACTTCAAAGACAGGAAACTAGCCCTTCAACAGAAACCAAAGACAAACCAACGAATCTTGCCTTTTGTCACACAATACCAACCATCAGTGCCAAACCTAAAGCAAATTCTCATGAAAAACTGGCATTTAATAGAACGACAACCATTACTGAGCGAAATCTACAAAAAACCGCCCCTCGTATCTTATAAAAGAGGGCGGTCGCTGAAAGTTTTACATTTTCTCACAGGGTAACACCCACAATTTCTCAATTGAGAACACGGGTATTACCCATGCGAAACGATCGTCTGAGCCATTCAGACAACTGCTACAGAGATCTATTGTTACGTAAGGTCTGTAACAACCAATAAAATCACTTGTTAAAAAAACCCGCGTTTCTCTAATCGTTCTGTGGCTTCATTCAAGAAGGAATCGAGCATTTTGGAAAGTATTATCGAGGGTTCAAAGCAGTTTGTCTCTAGAACGGTTGGAACGGCAAAATGTCGAAACGAAATCACATCTCGGATAACCAGAGGGAGATTTTAGACGATTTTTACGGGAAAGGCATGGTTGGAACCGGAGCCATGTACAGAGAAATGGTTGAAAAAGCCGCTGCAGACACTGGATTGACCAAGGCTCAAGTTGAAGTAAGTTAACTCCGCTAATAATATGATTAATTGAGTTTTATAAAGAATGTTCTTTCATGCCTGTTCGTCTCATTTTATTTGTCGAAGGGGTATCTCCCTTTCTTAGAAATAAGCGGATCGCTACTCTCGCTGGCACTCTCGCCAGCGATCGGCAGTTGAGACGCCATTTTTAGGGTTGTTTTCTCGTCTAAACAACTCAGTCGTATAAAGCTATGATTCGTTGTTTTTCTCCATTTTGCCCTTTCATGTACCTCTGACCTTAGTTTAAAGGATTCCTTGCTTGGAAATATTGCTTAAAATGTCTAGTGGTACTCAAATGATGAGTACTTAAAAATAACTTAATTGCTTATTTTTTGAAAAATATATATCTGTGTGATTTTGCTAAAACTGAGGTGCCCGCTAAGTTTTCGCTTGTACCGTGCATCGCGCGTGTTCAAGCCAGTGTAGCCGGAAAAAACCAGGGGGCTTGCTGTCTTGCTGGGTGTCAGCAGAGAGCCCAGGACCAGCCTATCCGTAGGTGGGTGGCTTCCTTGTTTTGTGTGAAAACCCGGGAGGTAGGGAGGGGAGATTTTGCCACTTTGACTAGACTTTCATGTCAGAAAGCAGCGCAAAGTCAGAGAATTTTTCCTGTGGGCTAGCCCAGCCAAATCAATGCTGTGACTCATAATCATAACACTCTTGGCAGATCTTGGGGGAAGTGTTTGACTAGTCATAAGCTTCATGGGTAAGGAGGCTGAGTAGTTGCTCCTTGGACTTGGCCATCTAGAGACTCAGTACAGGCATCTTGTATGAAATCCACACAGATATATATATATACTAGAAATACATGTATCGCAGAACCTTGCGAATCTCGGGGGGAGCCCATAAGGGGTGGGAGGACAGGAGAGAAATGAAGTAAATAATGTAACTGGGGAGGGCGGGTCTAATATTGGAAGCTGAGATGTACTTAATCTCCTGTTGATTAAATTTGAACCTAGTGCTCTGGCTTTAAAAAGGATCTTCTGAGATTTAAGTAGTGAATGCTGCATAGTTCCCATCCCATGTTCACCCCATTTGACCCTCCTACATGTGTAATAATGATCAAAAGGAAATGGGGGTGATAGTGGAAAACTGGCGCCTAATATGCAGTTGCATTTGCTTAATAAAAGCTCACCCTTAAGTGTAATAATTATTTGTGAAATGCGTCAGTAGTAGCGAGTGGATGGCAATGCTAGGAGATAATGCTGCAGTGAAAAAAACAACTAAATGCTGGTAATTGGAGAAAAATTTATTGTTATGTGACAAGGTCACTGAAGTTCACTTTAAGCTTATTTTATTTCCAAATTATTTTCAACTATACTCATTATCCTAATGATTATTAATTGGTTGTTTACCTAAATATCTTTATTTCCTTACACACCTTATTGTGTTTACCACGTGTAGTTGTATTATTCCCACACATTTCTTATACCTAAATCCTGTTGTGTAGGAGTAGTAAACACCTAGTTCCCTTAGGTAAATCCTGTATTAGTGGGCAGTAAATTCACTCCCTAGCCTTATTTGGTTTTTAGTTAATTTCGATTTTCCTCCAAATTTATTATAAATTGGCAACCATTTGCTCAGTAAATTCAGTTGGTTCAGTTGGTTTACCTAAGTAGAGCAAGTCCTCAAGGCAAGTACATTTTCAAGCCTCCCACGGATGTTTAGTTATCAATAACATTTGGTATGTTACATTATTTTCCTATTTGTTATTATTTTAGTCCTTTTAGCTTAGTTTATTAGCTTTCTATTTCCCTAGTTTGTAGCAATATTATTTTATAATTTAGCCGCATTTTCAATAGCTTTCTGTTTAGAATGTTTACCTCATTTGACCTTTAGTCTGGCACAGCATGTAATTTGCCTATTAAACATTCTGCTATTGTTCTCACCAATAGTTACTGTATCATCGCTTACCTTTGGTTTCCAATCATTTTCTGTAATTGTTCCCTTGTGTTCAATCCATTTTTGTTCCAAATTATCCTTTTGTCATTGCTTTTCGTGGTTTAGTTTCATTGTACTAGTTATTAGCTTAGTCATGCTGCATTGTTATGCAAGACATGTAATCCAAATCCCTTGGTCTTGTCTATTTTGCACTTCATGTAATAGTTCTCAGATTATACTCAGCTTTTGGTTTGTTTACATTTTTAAGTCACTTTTATAGTTTTTGTGAGTAATGTAATTGCCCTTTTTAAATGCAATTATTAGTGAGCATTATGCAATCAGTTATCTAGTCTTATTCTTGTTTCTAATATTTAGCTTGTAAATACTGGTTAGCTTATTGTAGTTTTTGCTTTATTTTTGTATTTTAGTTTCTCGTTCCCGTTTTTCCTGTTTGTTCAATAAACTCGTAAAACCTAAGCTCAAATCTGTTGTTCTTGCATCGACCGTTTTGGCCGTCTTACATTTTGGTGTCAGAAGTGGGATTTGAGCAAATCTTAATTAGAGAAAAAACGGGAACGAGCTAACAAATAGGATGACAGAAGCCCAGATAAAGGAACTGACTGACAAGTTGACTGCATTGGAGCAGCAACTCCAGAACCAGAGTGGTGCTACTGCATCTGCCACCGTTTCAAGTTCCACAACCCTGGTCCCATCACAGTTAAGGTGCCCCGTGAGCGCAAACTCCGGAAGTTTGCTGGCGGCCGTGACGATGGCATGTTGGAAGAGTGGATTGGGGATGCCACCCGGGCCATCACTGGACAAACAGACGCTGACGCCGTGGACTTTCTGCTCTACCACCTGGACGGTGTAGCCAAGGAAGAGGTCCGCCTACGTCCAGCTGAGGAGAGAGCCAGCCCTGCCGCAGTCTTCAAGGTCCTGCGAGACTGTTTCAGTGAGGGACTCACCAGCACCCAAGCCCTACGGAAGTTCTTCGAAAGAAGACAGAAGGATCGCGAATCAGTTCGTGAGTTCTCCCATGCCTTGATGCTACTCCTAGCACGGGTAGAGCGCCTGGATGCAGCAGCGGTAACGGATAAGGACAAGCTCCTTAGAGATCAGTTCCTGGAGAACCTGGCAGACCCCCAGCTCCGAAGAGATATAAAGCGCTGGGTCAGAGACCACCCCACCAAAACCTTTCAAGAGATCAGAGATGAGGTCCAGCGCTGGATTGACGAGGACGGAACCCCCCCAAGAAAGGCTGTTGTGCGTGAGGTCACGACAGGACACCCCCCTAATGAGGTCACCTGTGATGAGGTGAAGGGAGCTGCGGACCTGCGGAAAGTGATTAGTGAGCTGGTAGCGGGACAGAAGATCCTGGCAGAGAGCCTCCAAAAGCAACAGAAGGTCCTGGCAGAGCAGATACAATGTCAGCAGGCTACCCTAGAGAAGCAGCAACAGGCCATCTCCCAGCTCTCCATGGGTAATCAACAATGGTGGCAGCATGGATGTTTTGGCTGTGGGTCACGGACACATCTCCGCAGAGACTGCCAAAGAAATAACAGACAGAACGAACGGGCTGGTGGCAGCAGGAACAGAGGATCTGAAAACAAGCAGCTGCCGGCGTTAAACGAGAAAGCTCCACGGCAGTGAGCCATGCCGTGGAGGGGAACAGTGGCTCAAAGCCTCTACCTAATGATGACTGCATGCCAATACATATGGTTGGTGGTACCCCAACAATTCAAGCAAGACTTGGCGGTGTTGACGTGCTGTGTATGGTAGATTCAGGCTCCATGGTATCCTTCGTGACAGAAGATTTCTATAACAAGAAACTCCAGCCAACCTGCGGGCACATGAGGAAAAATGGGCAGATGCTGACCCTTCGTGCTGCAAATGGGCTCGAGATTCCGTACCTGGGCTACCTGGAACTGACTGTAGAGGTTGATGGGGTGAAAGTACCCAGCTGTGGAGTACTGGTCCTAAAAAGACACCCCAGCCACTACCAAGCAGAGAAGAGACATACCTGGACTCCTTGGGAGGAATGTTTTGGCGCAGATTCCGCAGTTTGGTGCCCTGCTCCAGCAACGGCCTAATGCTGAACCAAGGACTTCAGAAAACCCTTCCTCTGGTTTTGTTCGTGTCGCTGGAATGTACCCAGTCCTAGTCCCCTCAAATTCTGTAGCAAGTGTCGCCGTCACTGGTCCAGCCTGTGGTCCCAATGCCTTAGTTGAACCCCTCAGTGTGCCAGTACCAGGAAACCTCCAGCTAGCGAATACCTTGGTTGATGCCTCTAAGACGTGTTTCCTGATACAAGTAGCGAACCCTTCCCAAAAAGATGTATGGCTAAAGCCACGAACTCGCCTTGGAACGGTACATGGTGCAGTTACAGTGACCAGTGGAGAGCAGCTACAGTTTGATGTGCAGAGTAATGAAGTAGTAGTATCCTACCCCCTGAGTGCAGAGCAGCAGAAGCCTACCTCCCCAGAGACTGACATCCCCATACGCCCCCCTAAAGCAAAAGACCTACCCTCAGAAATCAGCCTAGACAATTTCCCAGGAACCCCAGCGGAAAAGCAAGAAGCCTTGCGAATCTTCACCAGTTACGCGGATGTATTCTCCAGTGAAGAAAACAGCCTTGGCAGAACGACTATGATCCAGCATCAGATTCCAACCTGTGACGACAGACCAGTTAACCAGCGTCACAGACGCATTCACCCGAATCAGTTAGCTGAGGTCAAACAGCACCTGCAAGACCTGCTGGATAAAGGTGTAATCAGACCCAGTCAGAGTAACTATGCCTCCCCCATTGTCCTAGTCCGGAAGAAGAATGGTGCCCTGCGCATGTGTGTGGACTACCGCCAGCTTAATGCCAAGGTGAAACGTGACGCGTACCCATTACCAAGAATAGATGAGAGCCTTGATATCTTGGGAGGTGCTAAGTACTTCTCTACCATTGATTTGGCCTCTGCTTACAACCAAGTAGAAGTTGCCCCCGCTGACAGACACAAGACAGCTTTCACCACCCCTTTTGGATTGTTCGAATACAACAGGATGCCATTCGGATTGGGAGGAGCCCCTGCGACGTTCCAAAGGGTTATGCAGACCATTTTCCGAGATGAATTGTTGGAGATCCTGATTGTCTACCTTGATGACATCATTGTCTTTAGCCAAGACATCAGCACTCACCTGAAGCGCCTTGAGATGGTGTTCCGAAAACTGCAAGAGCATGGTCTGAAGATTGAGGCTAAGAAGTGTCAGTTCTTCCGCCCGAAAGTTACGTACCTGGGACATGTGGTGTCTGCTGAAGGCGTGGCTACTGATCCTGCCAAGACAGAAGCAGTAACGAACTGGCCTAAGCCAAAGACCCTGAAGGACCTGAGATCATTCCTGGGTTTTGCCTCGTACTACCGCAGATTTGTTCCTCACTTCGCACAAGTAGCAAGACCCCTGCATGAACTGGTCTCTACCCTGTACGAAGGTGGCAAGAATGGTAAACAAAGAAACAAGTCCGTTGAAGGCAGCTGGAACCAAGACTGCCAAAAAGCATTTGAAAGCCTCAAGCAAGCCCTTACCAGTCCATCCGTATTAGCCTACCCTGATTACACGAAGCCCTTTATTGTAGAAGTAGATGCCTCCAATGACGGTCTCGGAGCAGTGCTGTCGCAGGATCAGGATGGAAGAGTCAGACCCATAGCCTATGCTAGCCGTGCCCTAAGAGGAGCAGAGAGAAATATGGAGAACTACTCCTCCAGAAAACTGGAACTCCTAGCTCTCAAGTGGGCCGTAACAGAAAAGTTCCGTGAACACCTGATTTCCTCCACCTTTACAGTACTGACTGACAACAACCCTCTGACTTACCTGCAGTCCAAGTGCAAGTTGAAGGCTGTTGAACAGAGATGGGTGTGCGAACTGGCTAACTTCAATTTCAACATCAAGTACCGAGCCGGGAAACAGAACACGAATGCTGATGCATTAAGTCGTCTTAACTGGGAGAAACCCGAAGAGTGTGATGTGGATCAAGTAGAAGCAGCCTTGGCGTCATCTCTTAACACTACCGCTGTACCTGAGTCCGTTCGAGAACAGTTACTCCAGTCGGCAGTGTTCCTAGCAGAAAATCCCAGTGCAGTAGTGGAGCAGTTGACAGTAGATCCCCCACAGCAGTACAGTACCAGTCCAGTGCCTTCCTGGGACAGTAAACAGTTGGCCAAGCTGCAGAATGTGGATGTAGCCATAAAGCGCCTCATTTACTATCGCACCATTGGTCGCAAGCCGTCGCCTAGAGAAAAGAAGGCTGAAACAAGTGGAGCAAAGAAGCTTCTGAACCAGTGGGACCGTATCATTGAGAAGGAGGGAGTTCTCTACCGCAGTAACTCTGATAACCATGGCAACAAGCGCCTACAGCTTCTCCTACCTGACAGTCTCCGTGACGAACTCCTCAAGGGTGTTCATGACGAGTGTGGCCATCAGGGATCAGAGCGAACAGAGCAGTTGGTACGAGAACGCTGTTGGTGGCCTGGACTACATGACTATGTTAAGAAGTACCTGTCAGAATGTGAACGCTGTGTTGTAGCAAAGGGACCCTACCTACCTGTTAAGACCCCAATGACCAGCATCATTGCAACCAAGCCCCTTGAAGTACTAGCTATGGATTTCACCCAGCTTGAGCCAGCTTCAGATGGCAGGGAGAATGTGTTAGTACTCACCGATGTGTTTACCAAGTTTACAGTCGCAGTGCCAACAAGAGATCAGCGGGCCAGCACCGTAGTCAAAACCCTGGTACGTGACTGGTTCCTTGTGTATGGTGTCCCTAAGAGAATTCATTCTGACCAAGGACGGTGTTTTGAAGCTGAAGTGGTTCAAGAGCTGTGCCGCATGTATGGAATCAAGAAATCCCGAAGCACTCCTTACCACCCCGAAGGAAATGGGCAGTGTGAGCGATTCAACTGTACACTCCATGACCTGCTGCGTACCCTCCCACCTGAGAGAAAGAGAAAGTGGCCTGAGCACCTCAAGGAACTGTGTTATGCATATAACGCAACTCCACATACCTCTACCGGGTATTCCCCACACTACCTCATGTTTGGAATTGATCCTAAGTTGCCAATTGATCTCCTACTCCCAAATGTCCATGAAGAACAAGCAAGCAACAATGGTGAATGGCTTACCTTACACCAGAATCGTCTACGAGAAGCTCATCAGCAAGCACAGAGCAAGCTTCGAGCCGAAGCTATCTTCCGCAAGAAGCAGTTTGATCGGCACAGACAAGTCAAGCCTGACGAAATTCCCATTGGTGAGAGAGTTTTCACTCGCAGCCATCCCCAAGGGAGAGCTAAGATACAAGACAAGTGGAACTCTAAGATTTACAAGGTTGTTAATCGTCGGGACAATGTCTACGAAATCGAACCGGCTGATGGTCAGGGAGTTACTAGAACTGTCAACCGTGCAGAGCTTCAAATTTGTCCTAAGCCTAGACCACTGTTACAGCAGCTGACCCACAGACGAAACCGAGCACCAGTACCCCCAACACAGAGAGAAGCCCCTGACGACTCTTCTGATGATGATGATGATATTCTGATTGCTTTTGATGCCCCTCGTGTACCTGTGCCATTACCTGCTGTAGACCTTGAGAGACCATTTTTGCGTCGCTCTACGAGGCTTAACAAGGGACACCACAGCAACCCATATCGCATACCCAGGACAGCAGCTACCTAAGGCTTATGCTAAGATTTGTAACCCACTTTCGGTTAAGATTACCTTTTATTTCTTGACTTGTTTAATTTTTTATTGCTCGCATGAGGACATGGCAAGCAAAAGCAGGGGGGAATGTGACAAGGTCACTGAAGTTCACTTTAAGCTTATTTTATTTCCAAATTATTTTCAACTATACTCATTATCCTAATGATTATTAATTGGTTGTTTACCTAAATATCTTTATTTCCTTACACACCTTATTGTGTTTACCACGTGTAGTTGTATTATTCCCACACATTTCTTATACCTAAATCCTGTTGTGTAGGAGTAGTAAACACCTAGTTCCCTTAGGTAAATCCTGTATTAGTGGGCAGTAAATTCACTCCCTAGCCTTATTTGGTTTTTAGTTAATTTCGATTTCCCTCCAAATTTATTATAAATTGGCAACCATTTGCTCAGTAAATTCAGTTGGTTCAGTTGGTTTACCTAAGTAGAGCAAGTCCTCAAGGCAAGTACATTTTCAAGCCTCCCACGGATGTTTAGTTATCAATAACATTTGGTATGTTACATTATTTTCCTATTTGTTATTATTTTAGTCCTTTTAGCTTAGTTTATTAGCTTTCTATTTCCCTAGTTTGTAGCAATATTATTTTATAATTTAGCCGCATTTTCAATAGCTTTCTGTTTAGAATGTTTACCTCATTTGACCTTTAGTCTGGCACAGCATGTAATTTGCCTATTAAACATTCTGCTATTGTTCTCACCAATAGTTACTGTATCATCGCTTACCTTTGGTTTCCAATCATTTTCTGTAATTGTTCCCTTGTGTTCAATCCATTTTTGTTCCAAATTATCCTTTTGTCATTGCTTTTCGTGGTTTAGTTTCATTGTACTAGTTATTAGCTTAGTCATGCTGCATTGTTATGCAAGACATGTAATCCAAATCCCTTGGTCTTGTCTATTTTGCACTTCATGTAATAGTTCTCAGATTATACTCAGCTTTTGGTTTGTTTACATTTTTAAGTCACTTTTATAGTTTTTGTGAGTAATGTAATTGCCCTTTTTAAATGCAATTATTAGTGAGCATTATGCAATCAGTTATCTAGTCTTATTCTTGTTTCTAATATTTAGCTTGTAAATACTGGTTAGCTTATTGTAGTTTTTGCTTTATTTTTGTATTTTAGTTTCTCGTTCCCGTTTTTCCTGTTTGTTCAATAAACTCGTAAAACTTAAGCTCAAATCTGTTGTTCTTGCATCGACCGTTTTGGCCGTCTTACAGTTAGGTGAACTACAGCTATAAAAGTGTTTGCACTTTTTTTGGTACATAATCACACTTGTCAACTATTGTTTGTAACAGTAAAGTGCAAACATAATCACTGAAATAGAAAATTACAAGTAGCAATGTCGATCATTAAGGATGCAGTTCATGAGAATTACTATTGCACTTTGACGTGACAACTCTGGATGACGTCAAGGCGGACACCAACCAAACTCGATAGATTTATAGCCAAGACAAAATCACGCTGGCCTTGAGATGCTCGTCGCACGACGAGATTATAAACCTTGCTTCACAAGGAATAAAAAGCATTCAATAGAGCAATCCTAACTTTTTATGGACCTTGTACACCTTATTGATTGACTGATTGATTTATTGATTGATTTTTATTTAGCCATTCATTCATTTAGTTGTTTGATGTTTATTTAAGCAATAGACCACACTTTCTATGGGTTTACCCGTGTGATAACCCATGCTGGATGTTGGGAGAACACGAGAAAAGCTTGTACATCACGAGCCGATCATTAATTGGTTTGATTAAGCACTTAATGGGACCCTTTAACAATGGAAATCTGATCCTTGAGAGTCCTTGACAATTTCTTGAATTATTGGATGAAAAAAGGGTAACCCCTGTTCCTTAGACCTTAAATGATGAGGTTCAATACGTTTGAGTTGTTAGTAGGTTCATATATTTATGTAAATAAACCTGCACTAACATTTCATTTACTGGATCATTCATTCTTACTATTAAATGCAATTTTTGTTTTCAAAGAGAGTTCAATTTTGACTTATTTTCAGAAATGGATTGGAAATCAGAAAAGAAAAAGATCACAAGAAACATTAAATGATGAAAGTGACTTAACATTAAAGAGAGTCAAGGCTGCCAGAGGCCCTCATTCTTACAATTTATTTTGTGCTGAATTTTTTAAAACAGGTGAAGAGAAAACAAAAATCTACCTTTTTACAGTCAAACCTGTGTATAACGGCCCTGTATATAGTGCTCACTCTGTGTATTATGGTCACCAGACAACTTTTTGAAATTTAATATCATTTGCTGTTAAGTGGACCTTGTATAGAGGTCACCCTGTATATAAAAGTAGCCGTCACCTGGCCATTTCCTCAAGGGTGATTGTTATAAACAGGTTTGACTGCACTTTCAACTGTTGTTTGCACTCCTTTATTAATAGCTGGGAGTCCTGGGTATTTACATGTAGCTCACTTGCATGTGTGATGGTGAGGTACAACATGTGTATACCAACCAGATCTGAAAACAGTTGTGAATTTTTTAAGGAATGTTATGGATTAAAGAGGGGTAAAAAGCATCTCTAGTTGAGTTGAGGAAGCTTCAGAGTGAATAGAAAGTCTAGAACAGCAAACATTGCACCTTTGCAAGGCCATCTGCATACTGAAGTTCTTCTCTAGATTATGTAATAATTTATGCAGATCATGTAAACTAGGTTTTGGGCATCAGCAGGAGCTTGTGCAGTGCTGTTTACTGCATTGTGACTAATGTTTAACTATAGGCTATGCTTTGTGGTATAGCATATGTGTATAATTAAGTTACTTTACCTGTAATAAGCCACCACATGGCTGTTTATATAGATTTTCAATTAAAGAAGGGAAAAACTAAACTTTAATTTTTTTTTTCATTTTCCCTCCCCATACACTCATGCTTGAATTTAAGGTTATTTTCTTGTAATGCTTTATTAAAAACTGACAAGTTTTCTCAGGGAATACTTGTATTTATTTGAGAATTGGACTGCAAACTTGATCATTCATTTTTATGTCTTACGTTTTGAATGATGTAGTCTCAGAATATAATATAGCTGGTTGTAACTTTTGAGTCTGTGGATGAAATCCTGTGGTGTGACCGTTGAAGTTGTCTTTCTGCATTTTACAAAATGACATTTAGAAAATTGGCTTGCCAAGTTAAAATGTTTTCTAATTTGATGGCACAATATTTTAAAATTTGCAGATGAATGTAAGGGTCTGACATACGAAGACAAAAATAAGCGTGCATCTGAAAAGTGGAAATTGCAGACAAAAGAAGAAAAGGAAAAATATGAAAACTCTGCAAAAGCGTTCAAAGAATTAGATGTGAAAGTATCAGAACTGTCAGAAGAGCAAAGAAAAAAATTAATTGAGCGACACAGAAAGAAACTACTTGAAGAGGTAATCATCACAGTAATGTTGTTATTTACGTACATAAGAGGCTGTTTCATTGTTGTTCTTTCTTGAGCTAAGATATACATTGTACATTCTCTCTTTTTCGGATATGTGTATATTAATTCCAAGTACTTTTTAATACAAGCACATTGCATAAGAGGTCCTCTGGCCACTGTTATTAATGGCTCTTAAAAGAGTAGTACAATGTCATCTGCTTGTATCGGAGCAGTTAACTAACTAATGATCAGATGAAAATTGCTTCAGTTAAGGAGGCAATTACTTGATTTTTAAATCAATAACTTTTAGTGAATTGTAATTTATGTAAAATATTGCTACTTATTGTCAGGGTACTTAGAGGTCAAATAAAATGTTCTATTTTTTTTGTCTGTGTTTTAATAGATAATGGTGCTGGAAGATTTGGGCTGTCAGGCATCTGTGTTGTACATGGATGTGAGTGGAGAGGTTTTCCACATGGGCTCCAGGGATGGTACCTCTTTCCTGGCAGCCAATCAAGATATAAGCCTAAAGTTTCGTGAATATTTTGGTTAGTAATCCTTAACCTCTTAAAGTGTCTACTGCAAACAACCAGTAATTTAATATTTTAATGGGATATTAACCATTGAATGCTACTTACTGGTAATCCCTTTGCTTGGCTATTTTCTCGTACAAGGTGTGCATTGGTCCTGGGGCTGATGCGGTTCTAAATCTCAAACCATGCAAGGTCTGGGTATAAAGATCTTTACTGTGTGTAAGTAGTTTTTCCCCACACACATATATAGAGGATATTACACGGTTACAACTTCTGCCTCACATCACACTTGTGATATAAAGATATGTAATAATATATAATATATGCATTTTTTGCACTTTTTATTTGAGTGTCAATGTATTTAGCACAAAAGTACTAATTGTGGACACTATTGTGGACACTATTTTTACGTCTCCTAATGGAGACGGGACCGCCATTTTACGTGGTCATCCGAGCCACGCGAACTGGTCTCGCCGCTTGCAGTGCAAAGGAAGTACCTTCATTTCTCAGTCATTTTAAGACCCTGAGCCAGGAATCAAACCGACGACCTTCCGCTCTGCAGTAAAACGCTCTACCGACTGAGCTAATCCTGCCACGGTACGAGTGTAAAAAGTATCTTTATAATATTGCTGTTTTTTCTTATTTAGGAAGTGACAAACACCATTTTTCTGTTTCTGATGTTCAAGATCTTTTCAACAAAAAATATAGTAAGTATTTTGATAATGCCTTTCATTAAAAAATTACTGACTTACTTACTGACTGGGTTAATTTCAACTCTCTAATATATATTTAAAAAGTGCATACTCATTAATGTATAACAAATAGTTTGTCCCATGTTGTATTGCACCTCTTGATATAGCCATGCAATTCCATGATAAGCAACACTGATTGTTCATTGAAAAGGGAATGGTTTTTGACTTTTTACACTCGCTGAAACATTAATAATCTTCTGAAGGAGACCGCATGTCAACATGTTATTGATGTGTTAATGACATGCCATGACACAATTATTTTATTGACTGATGCCTGGCCTTAATTCTTTTTTAGGCGAAGCTTGTGGTAAAAAAGGATATAGGGTGCCTTATTTGAAAGGGGGCTTTGAAATTCATGGCCTGCCAGAGGGGATAATTTTCAAGAAGCCGTACAATTACGGCCGTCTGCAGCTGAGGCAGATCATGTTGGCAGCAGACAAAATTTATTTTACTGTTGCTAACAATCAGCCTCACTCAGATGAGCCAGATGGGTGCGTTGCAGAGAGTGGACCTAGCAATCCTCAACCCACCGGTGATATTTTACCTGTTCTGACAAAAATTGCTGGAGGAGATGTGGCGAAGCGTGCGTTAGATGGGCAAGGTCAAATCGAAGAGGCAGATGTCGAGGTGGTGGACTTGTGTCTCTCAGCAACAGAGAAGTTGACCCTATATGCTTCATGTTCACCCTTTTTTTCACCAGATGCTTGGTTGTCTGTTGGTGTGAACATGAAGCATTCAGATGATGCATCAAGTTTAGTGTTGCCTATCTATACAACTGCCGATGAACCATTCTGGCTATTTCACACAATATCGAAACCTTCCAGGATAATGAAAGCAGTCAGTACCACGAAGATAAGAGGCCACTGGTTAGACCTTCAGGATGATGGCTCTTACTCTGTGATAAATAACGATACTGTTTTAGGCAAGAACATCATCCGCACTGCCCATGGCCCTCTATATTTTGAGTTCACTGTAAACGTGGACCCAGAATTTTCATTTCATTTACCTGTGGCTGTCCGTTCTGTTATTTTAGCCACTCTACGTCAGGCAGGATTAATCTGTTCCACGTGAAATCAAAACTGAGAGGGTATGTCATTTCTACTAACACATACAGTCAAGAGTCTCTCTAATGCTGTGTTCACACCTGCACGAAACATGCTTAGAGTAACCAAGTTTACATGAAACACGTTTCTGATAAACATGTTTGTTAAAAACATTGTTCACATAAATTGTTCGTTTCAAACACGCCTACTCCTTTTTTGCATAATATATGTTTTTTTCACGGCACCTATCATGATATCATAAAATGCAGCGGTTTACAAGAAGACGGCATTGGCGATGCCTTCGTTACATGTTTTCCCGTTTTCGCCAGCGCTTGTCGGACTGACGTTTGCGTTACTTTTTTGGACAATATTGTACCAAATACTAATTTTGCTTTAGGCCCGTGGCTGACAACTGACGTTGACTTTCTTCACCAGTCCATCAGTTAAAGTTTAAATGTTTTTCCTGTAGGCCATATTTGTACTGAAAATTTCTTTTCCTCGTGGTAGCAGTTTAGGTTCTTTCGACTTCCACCTTCTCAATCCGCCATGTTTAACTTGTTTCAATTCATCTAAATGAGATCGAATCAACCTCGCGAGGTAGTATCAATCATGCTTAGACTAAACAGGTTTCGTCCTTGTTTCGCGCAATTTACCGCCCAGTGTGAACACGTCTTGCAGTGAAACGTGTTCCATTAGTGTTCAGACTTAAAATGTTTCGGAGATGTGAATGCAGACACCTTTGGGAGAGAAAGCTTTTTTGGAGTGTTTCGAGTCGGTGAGCTGTGAGTTAAGCTCTAGGGAGTCAGGTCAGTTTAAGTTTAGGTTAGAGCTAGGGTTAGTGTGGGGTTAATGCTAGGCTTAGGGTTAGTCTTAGAGTTAGATTAGGGTTAGGTAGGGGTTAGTAACTGGTTGATTCATTACTCATTGACTCACGTTACTCATTGAAAGGGATCCACTTCAAGTGATAAGCGTGTCAAATTAAAGCAATTGCGTTTGAAAGTAGAAGAATGATCATTTCTATTTAACAGGTGTCTGTTTAAGGAAGGTGAAAGGCCAGCTTAGAATAGTATCAATTAGGAGTGGTAATTTTATAAAAAGTTTACTTTGAATATAACATACGAAATTACCATGACTTGTATAATACCCATACAGACGAGGCTCGTAACAGTAATATGTTTGAGTCTTGCACTTTTTCATATCTCTACAATTAGAGGATGGCTGCCCTCTGATTGTTGATTGTGTCCTTCAATGAGATATTATCATGAGTCTATACTTCAATTAATAGCACTTAGTTAGACTATGCATAAATATATGGAATGGTAGCTTTTATGAAAGAAATGAAGAAGAAAGTCGCAAAAAAAAAAATTAAATACTCCTTACCTAAACCTTGGCATTGTTTTTCCAAAATAAGCGCTTGAAGTGAAAAAAGTTTATCGAAGGTATGAGCTATTTTCACGTAAAGGGTGGCAGAGTTGATTGCAGTCGAACCTCCCGTAAGTGACCACCCAAAATGTCGAGCCTAGTTGGTCGCTTACGGGAGGTGGTCGCTTACGATAGTTCAAACCATAATGGGTCAAATTTTTGAACTGAAACGAAAGCAAAAATAATTAAGTGAAGTAAAAAAGGAACAATCCTTAACGGCAACTGTACATGTGGTTCCACGAAGCGCAGGGTCTGTGTCTGGTAACATACTGCAGTAGATACAAAATAAATGTACCTCGTTTTTTGGTAAAAAAGAGTCGAGATAATTGCTCGAACGACTTAGGCTCAGAATCACACAGCACTGTCCAATTTCCGCTCTATTATCTGTCAAGCGGAGTTAAAAACCAAAAGAAAATTTCCAACTTTCAGCTACAAAAGTAATCTGGACGCTAACGAGAGGTGGTCGCTTTCAAGATGTTCCAAATATAGTGATTTGACTTACAAACTTTTGGTATTTTGGAAAACTGGGCGCTGATGAGAGGTGGTCGCGCAGGAAAGGTGGTCGCATCCGGAGGTTGGACGGTATTCCGATCATCGCCGATGTGGTTTTTGGCGTTGATAAGCTAGCTGCTGACTCAATTCGACAATCCCTTTACTACCCTATGGGTCAAACAGAAAAGTTAAAGAACTAGCTTGTGAGGGTGTACAATCCTCTGCAGCTACATGTAACTCACCAGTTGGTATAACTGATCACAGTAATAGAGTTGAGACAGACCTTTTGCAACAGCTAAGTATAACGTTCTAAAATGGACAAGCACGTTACTTTAGCAAACACTTATAAATCAAAGTTGAAGTGGGAAGCTGCCCGCTGGTTGCTCTGAGTATCAATTGTATTTTATTTATACATCATTTATTGTTTGTTCATTAAAGACAGCTGGTTTACGATCCCTCTTACCTCTCTATCACTTGGGTGGCATAATTTATTTGGTCTCGTCCCAACAACAGTTTATCCTCTGTGTCATTTGTGCTGGTTTCTCCGTTACCACTTCCACTTTTACACATATATAGTTAGCTGGTAAGGGACTGATAGCGGCAGCCAATGGCGCCTTTTTATGCTGACTTCGATCTTAAGGAGGGCACAGTGTGTTGTCCTCACATCCGCGACCTTACCTTATCTTGTATGAGCTTTTTGGTAGACCTTTTCCAGTTTTTCCATCTGAGGCCCCATAAGTCAGACGAGGAACTTTTTACGTCCTGCACCTAATACCTACTGTAAATGTTCGAATTAGCGCCCCCCTTTTCGCTAGAAATGTTAAATGAGTGCCCCCCTTCGAATAAGCGCACTCCCCCAACACACCTTGTCCTCCTTACTAAATGTACGGTATACAGTACGATTACTTTCAATGAATAGAGCAAGACATGTACAGTCACTGGAGAGTGACCCATTTGAAGACATCACATGGTCGGATGTTTAAGACGTGGCTTCCGTTGAGGACGGCGACAGAACTTAGTTATAACAGAACAATAAAGCCAAGTATATACACCACACACTCGCAATTTTAGGTGTGCGAATTAGCTCTCTCGCAACTCAAACAATTAAATAAGCCTCCCGGGCGCAAATTCAGCAATTACGGTACGATATTTTATGATCTTTTGCCTAAAACGAGACAGGTTGGAATAATTAAGTCCGGCGTCTGAACAAACAGGCGTGTAGTCATTGGTTGACCTGAACGTTAACTCGAATTAACTCGGCCCATCAAAAGTTTGGCTTTCCGACGGCTCTACTCTTAGTTGGTTCGAGACAGGTCTCTAAGGTGAGGCAGTTGGACCACTGTTCAGAATAATATTGTTCTAATAATTCGAGTCAGGGGCTTATATGAGGCAGCTGGTTCAAGTCATGAGTCATACTGATTATGGGCCCTTGCAGTCCTTCAAGCTGGGTCGTTCAACCTGTTTCATCACGTTCCACAGAATTGGTAAGTCCACCTGGGGTAGTCAGCCCGTCTGGGGCAGATGGTTCACATGAATCAGTTGCGTCTGGTTCTTATTTAAGTTGTTAGTCAACATCTTTTAGCCAGCTGGGTCGGTCACAGGGAGATGATTTAGTTGGTCGAGCTGGGTCGGCTGATTGACTTAAAATTGATCCTTCTGAATCAGTTGGCCCATCAGAGTCACTTTATTGGTCAATTGATCCTGGTCAGTCGGTTTAGTCATTCGATAACGTTGTTCCATCTTGTTGATGAGTTGGCTCCTTTGACTCTGTTATCAGGGTTAGCCGGTCAATCTAAATCAGTTACGCAAGTCTTCTTTTGGTCAGCTAGAATCAGTTTTTAACTTGAACCTACTTGATAGAAAGTGAAGCCATCAATGAGTGTCGGTTGGTTGACGTCAGTCAGATTGGTGATGTGGGTTGGCTGGTCCTTTAAGGAGGGTTACCCATTCTGATCTCGATGAATCGATTCCAAAGTTAGGCTCAAACCGGTCGTAGTACAAATAGGTAATTTGGTGCAGCCGAGTCGGTCAGTCTCTCCATGTGAGCTGCTTCGTCAGTCTTTGGTCTTGGGTCCGTTTATATTAATTAGTATTTAATACATATGTTAAACAGTGTCGACCACTCGACCTCAATCTGGTCATTCTAAAATAGTTCATAAGCTGCTCAATCTGTGGAAGCATTTTTCGCCTTTTATGCGGGTAGTCCATTATTTGGGTCATTTTCCTTAGAAAGGCTATATCAACGGGCTTTTCGGTTCAATTCAAGACCTAATACACCGAAAATGTCTAGAGACTGGCTCTTTCGCCTTTTATGCGAAATAGTCCAACAGTTGGGTCATTCACCCTAAAAAACCTATGTCCACGGGCTTTTTGGTCAAATTCAAGACCTAATGTGCCTAGAATGACAAAATCAGCTTTTCCGCCTTTTATGCGAAATAGTCCACTAGTTGGGTCATTTACCCTAAAAAACCTATGTCCACGGGCTTTTTGGTCAAATTCAAGACCTAATGTGCCTAAAATGACAAAATCAGCTTTTTCGCCGTTTATGCGACATAGTCCACCAGTTGGGTCGTTTACCCTAAAAAATTATGTCAAAGGGCTTTTTGGTTAAATTCAACACCGAATGCGCCTAAAATGACAAAATCAGCTTTTTCGCCGTTTATGCGAAATAGTCCATTATTTGGGTCATTTACCTTAGAAAGGCTATATCAACGGGCTTTTTGGTCAAATTCAAGACCTAATGTGCCTAAAATGACAAAATCAGCTTTTCCGCCTTTTATGCGAAATAGTCCACTAGTTGGGTCATTTACCCTAAAAAACCTATGTCCACGGGCTTTTTGGTCAAATTCAAGACCTAATGCACCTAAAATGACAAAATCAGCTTTTCCGCCTTTTATGCGAAATAGTCCACTAGTTGGGTCATTTACCCTAAAAAACCTATGTCCACGGGCTTTTTGGTCAAATTCAAGACCTAATGTGCCTAAAATGACAAAATCAGCTTTTTCGCCGTTTATGCGAAATAGTCCATTATTTGGGTCATTTACCTTAGAAAGGCTATATCAACGGGCTTTTTGGTCAAATTCAAGACCTAATGTGCCTAAAATGACAAAATCA